GTTAGTTCCTCCTAATAATAACTCATTTTTATTAGAGCGCTTTTCCAAGTACTCAAAGTGCTTCATATTACGTGTGTGTGTGTGTGTGTGTGTGTGTGTGTGTGTGTGTGTGTGTGTGTGTGTGTGTGTGTGTGTGTGTGTGTGTGTGTGTGTGTGTGTGTGTGTGTGTGTGTGTGTGTGTGTGTGTGTGTGTGTGTGTGTGTGTGTGTGTGTGTGTGTGTGTGTGTGTGTATGTAGCCTCTGTGGTCTGGTCTCTGCACAGGAACCTGGGTTTCCCTCTGGACCTGGTGGACCTGATGTTGGAGGAGAGAGGAGTCCAGGTGGACCAGGAGGGTCTGCAGCGCCTCATCTCAGAGAGCCAGGTGAGGTCACACACCTGAGCAGGTCTCACTCTGACCCACACACACCTGAGCTGGTCTCACTCTGACCCACACACACCTGAGCAGGTCTCACTCTGACCCACACACACCTGAGCTGGTCTCACTCTGACCCACACACACCTGAGCAGGTCTCACTCTGACCCACACACACCTGAGCTGGTCTCACTCTGACCCACACACACCTGAGCAGGTCTCACTCTGACCCACACACACCTGAGCTGGTCTCACTCTGACCCACACACACCTGAGCAGGTCTCACTCTGACCCACACACACCTGAGCAGGTCTCACTCTGACCCACACACACCTGAGCTGGTCTCACTCTGACCCACACACACCTGAGCAGGTCTCACTCTGACCCACACACACCTGAGCAGGTCTCACTCTGACCCACACACACCTGAGCAGGTCTCACTCTGACCCACACACACCTGAGCAGGTCTCTGACCCACACACACCTGAGCAGGTCTCACTCTGACCCACACACACCTGAGCAGGTCTCACTCTGACCCACACACACCTGAGCTGGTCTCACTCTGACCCACACACACCTGAGCAGGTCTCACTCTGACCCACACACACCTGAGCAGGTCTCTGACCCACACACACCTGAGCAGGTCTCACTCTGACCCACACACACCTGAGCAGGTCTCACTCTGACCCACACACACCTGAGCAGGTCTCACTCTGACCCACACACACCTGAGCAGGTCTCACTCTGACCCACACACACCTGAGCAGGTCTCTGACCCACACACACCTGAGCAGGTCTCACTCTGACCCACACACACCTGAGCAGGTCTCTGACCCACACACACCTGAGCATGTCTCACTCTGACCCACACACACCTGAGAAAGGCAAGGCAAGGCAAGGCAAGGCAAGTTTATTTATATAGCACTTTTCAACACAAGGCAATTCAAAGTGCTTTACAAAAAATGAAAGAGATTAAGAAAATGGCATTTAAAATCAGTCATTAAAAAGAAAAGCTAATAAAATAAACATTAAAAGAAGAAATACATGGATACAAGTTACAGTGCTGTCAATTAAACATTAAAAGAAAAAAGTACATGGATAAAAGTTACAGTGCAGTCTAAGATATGAATAGTTCAATTAAAAGCAGCGACAAAAAGAAAAGTCTTCAGACTGGATTTGAAAGTAGTCAGAGTTGCAGCGGACCTGCAGGTTTCTGGGAGTTTGTTCCAGATATTTGGAGCATAATAACTGAACGCTGCTTCTCCATGTTTAGTTCTGACTCTGGGGACAGAAAGCTGACCAGTCCCTGAAGACCTGAGAGATCTGGATGGTTCATCATTTAGCAGGAGGTCAGAAATGTATTTTGGGCCTAAACCATTCAATGCTTTATAAACCAGCAGCAGTATTTAGAAATCTATTCTTTGACACACAGGAAGCCAGTGTAAAGACTTCAGAACAGGAGTGATCCACTTTCTTAGTGTTAGTGAGGACTCGAGCAGCGGCGTTCTGAATTAGCTGCAGCTTCCTAATAGATTTTTTAGTGAGACCTGTGAAGACACCATTGCAGTAGTCGAGTCTACTGAAGATAAAAGCATGGACAAGTTTTTCCAAATCCTGCTGTGACATTAGTCTTTTAATCCTAGATATGTTCTTTAGGTGATAGTAGGCTGATTTAGTAACAGTTTTAATGTGACTGTTGAAACTCAGGTCAGAGTCCATGACTACACCTAGAGTTCTGGCTCTATCTGTTGTTTTGAACATTGCACACTGAAGCTCAGCGCTAACTTTCATACGTTCTGCCTTGGCTCCAAAAACCATTACCTCAGTTTTATCTTTGTTTAATTGGAGAAAGTTCTGACACATCCAGTCATTGATTTGTTCAATGCACTTACTCAGTGTTTGAATTGGAGCATAGTCTCCTGGTGAAATTGTTACGTACATGTGTGTGTCATCTGCATAGCTATGGTAACTTATTTTGTTGTTCTTCATTATCTGAGCCAGTGGTAGCATGTAGATGTTAAAGAGAAGAGGCCCCAAGATGGAGCCTTGAGGAACCCCACATGTCATATTTGTCAACTCAGATGTGTATTTACCTATAGAAACAAAGTTGTTTCTGTCCTTTAAGTAGGATTCAAACCAATTCAGAACTGTTTCCGAAAGTCCCACCCAGTTCTCCAGTCGGTCTAGTAATATGCTGTGGTCAACAGTGTCAAACGCAGCACTGAGATCTAATAATACTAACACTGAAGTTCTGCCACTGTCTGTGTTTAAGTGGATGTCATTGAAGACCTTTACAAGAGCAGTCTCAGTGCTGTGGTTTGGACGAAAGCCTGACTGGAACACATCAAAACAGTTATTTAAATGCAAGAAATTACTCAACTGTTGAAAAACAACTTTTTCAATGATTTTACCTAGAAATGGGAGGTTTGATATGGGCCTGTAATTGTTCATTACTGAAGCATCTAGATTATTCTTTTTAAGAGCGGTTTAATGACTGCAGTTTTCAGGGCCTGTGGAAAAATACCTGAGTGAAGAGATGTGTTTACTATATGAAGTAGATCTGAGGCCATGCAAGGCAAAACATCTTTGAAAAATCCTGTTGGAATAATATCAAGGCAGCAGGAGGAGGATTTCAGAAGTTGAATAATGTCCTCTAGGTTTTTATCATTAATCTGATGGAATTGTGTCATGATGTCTGAATTGATGTTAAGTGGAGATAGGGACAACACATTTGCTGTTCCTGATGCAGAGGCACTGACTGCTTGTCTGATTTTCTGAATGTTGTCAGTGAAAAAGGCAAAATCATTGCACGCCCTGGTGGATAGAAATTCAGAGGCTACTGACACTGGGGGGTTAGTTAGTCTGTCGACGGTAGCAAACAAGGCACGTGTGTTGTTTTTGTTTTTGGTAATGATGTCAGAGAAGAAAGACTGTCGTGCGTTTTTCAATTCCAAATTATAAAGGCCAAGTCTCTCTTTATAGATGTCAAAGTGAACCTGGAGATTTGTTTTTCGCCACCTGCGTTCAGCTTTTCGACATTCTCTTATTTCTGCTCTCACGGTCATGGCCTTTCTCCATGGAGATATTTTCTTGCCAGACACTTCCTTTACCTTAGTTGGAGCAATGGCATCTATACAAATTTTAATTTTTGAATTAAAATGATCTACTAGCTCATTTACTGAGATGTTGGCAGGGGCAAGTGTGGAAGAGAAATTCTGAGTAAACATTTCCCTAGTATTTTCAGTCAAATATCGCTTTGTGGTTACCTCTTTTTGAACATTTTTGTGAACAGAAATAGAGCTCTCAAAGAAAACACAGGAATGGTCAGAGAGTGCAACATCAGTCACCACAACCTTAGAGATATTCAGACCCTTTGAGATCATGAAGTCCAGAGTGTGCCCCTTATTGTGCGTGGGCTCCGTCACATGCTGAGTCAGTCCATAGCTATCAAGAACACAAAACAGTTCTTTAGCCCCTCTGTCCTGGGGGTTGTCAACATGGATGTTAAAATCACCAACAATGACTAGACGGTCAAAGTCAATACACACTATAGACAGCAGTTCAGTAAAGTCATCAATAAAGCTTGCACAGTATTTGGGTGGTCTATAGATATTTAGGAGCAGAGCTCGAGAGGAGCATTTCAGCTGAAGGGCCACATATTCAAAAGAATCAAAGTTTCCATACGATGTCTTCCTGCATTGAAGGGAATCATTGAACAGAATAGCAACTCCACCCCCTTTCTTATGCATTCTTTCCTGACTCATAAAACTAAAGTTGGGAGGGGTTGATTCGATAAGAACAGCTGCACTGTTATTCTGTTCAATCCAAGTTTCTGTTAAAAACATAAAATCGAGATTGTGCTCAGTGATTAAATCATTGATTAAAAATGTTTTTCCTGCCAAAGACCTGACATTTAATAAAGCTAGTTTAAGTTTGTTAAACACACTATCAGTCATGTTTTTTGTAACAAGCTGTGGCTGACATGGAATCACTGCTAAATTAGATACACTCACACAAACGTTTGAGCGCTTCCTGTTTCTATGATTCACCGCTCTTAATCTATTACCTATCAACACAGATATCGGCAAAGCTACTGGCAGGCAGGGCCCCGACATGTCCTGGAAAGAGTTGAGAGTGCCATACGCCCTTGAGCCTGGACCCATCACATATCAGTAAGAGTTTGTTGTGTTTTGTACACACACATCCTTATCAGGCTTCGGAGACTGCAGAAGCCCCCTCGAAGGGAGGGGAGGTGGTCGACGTAGGCACGGTGATGGAGACGGGCTAGATGGTGCGGGGGTAGAGGACATGCTGCCAGGGGGGGAGGTGGTTGACGTAGGCGCGGTGATGAGGACGGGGGAGATGGTGCGCGTCTCCGCGGTGATTTTGGTGGGCGTCGTTGAGGAGCGGGGGTAAAGGACATGGTGCCAGCCCTGCGTATCGCCTTCGTTTGGTCTTTGAACTCCAGGAAGGAATCGGTGCCAACCCTCTGTATCTCCTTTGTGTGTTCATCGATCTCCAGGAGGGTGGGCGAGGGTGAAAGGGTGAACGGAGTATCCTCAAAGGCGTTGACAGGGGGGGGGGGGCAGTGGAGACTCCTCCATGTGTCTCATATGTCTCCCATAATCAGAACATTCCTCAGGCGGGTGCAGTGATAATTCTTCAGGGTTTTCTGCGTGATGTGTTGTGTCTTTCTCCTGTTTTGATTCCTCTTGCCGCTTGTCCTTGGCAGAGGGAACAGATTGATGACGCAGGCAGTTGAATATGTTAGAGATAAACAATTTCACTCCTGACTTGTTCAGGCAAACTCCATTTGCCTTGAAAAGATGTCTGCGATCCCAGAAAAAGTTAAAATTGTCAATAAAATGAACAGAATGGTCAGTACAGGCCGTTGAAAGCCAGGTGTTCAGTGCAAACAATCTGCTGAATCTCTCCACTCCTCTTCTGACTGGCGGTAGAGGGCCACTGATGAACACCTCTGCATTTAGAGAGCTGGCAGTTTCCAACAAACATTTAAAGTCTTCTTTCAGCACTTCTGACTGTTGTTTCACAACATCATTTGTTCCAATGTGCAGTACCACATTCTTCACAGTCGGATGTTCAGCCCCAATATGCAGGATCTTCTCAGCCAAGTCAGAGACCACATCCTTGGGAAAACAGAGTACTTTGGTGTTGTTCTTATTACACAGACCTTTTACATCTCTTACAGCAGAGTCACCCACAATCAGAGTTTCAGGCCCAGTCGTTAGCTTTCCCTCTAGCCTTTTACTTTTAGAGTAGCTATTGGTCCTTACCCTGCTGCGTGAAGAGGACAGGTTATCCAGGTCATCAGATCTCCGGTTCTCGGTCAGCGGAGCGTATCTGTTCTGGATTGGCACACTTGGTGGTTTAGGAGGATTGTTTGTAATTCTCCCTTTAGCAGCTGTCCACTGCTGTTTCCTAGTATGAATAGGGGTTGAAGAGGCGCTGAAGAGCAGGTCTCTGACCCACACACACCTGAGCAGGTCTCACTCGGACCCACACACACCTGAGCAGGTCTCACTCGGACCCACACACACCTGAGCAGGTCTCACTCTGACACACACACACCTGAGAAGGTCTCTGACCCACACACACCTGAGCAGGTCTCACTCTGACCCACACACACCTGAGCAGGTCTCTCAGCTGAAACCTGTGTGTCTCTCTCAGGTGAAGTCTGGGGGTCAGACAGGTGTTCAGTCTCAGGTGTTGGACGTCCTCAGTCTGGCGAAGCTGCAGCGTCTCAGAGTCCCTCACACCGACGACAGCCTGAAGTACCAGTACAGCCTGCAGCAAGACAGATACGGTACTGTCTCACCCTCCGCCTTACTCACCTGTCTCACCTGTCTCTGTCTTACCCTCCGCCTGTCTCACTTGCTGTTGTCTCACCTTTCTGTCTCACCTGTCTGTCTCTCCTTTCTGTCTCACCTGTCTCACCTTTCTGTCTCACCTTTCTGTCTCACCTGTCTGTCTCACCTGTCTGTCTCTCCTTTCTGTCTCACCTGTCCCACAGTGTTCCCAGCATGCAGTGCGTCGGTGCTGGCCCTGTATGATGGCGGCTCTCTGATCTCACCTGTCTCACCTGTCTGTCTCTCACCTGTCTCCCAGTGTTCCCAGCATGCAGTGCGGTAGTGCTGGCCCTGTATGATGGCAGCTCTCTGGTCTCGGAGGTGAGGGAGGGGCAGCGCTGCTTCGTGGTTCTGGATCAGACCTGTTTCTACTCTGAACAGGGGGGGCAGTCACACGACCAGGGATACTTCACCCGGGACGGTCTGCAGGTGAGAGGGGAAATGCATCATGGGAAGTGTACCTGCCCATTAGCTTCTGTTAGCGTAGCTCTGACTGTTTCCTGTCTCAGGACGTCCCGTTCCCTGTGGAGGCCGTGGAGCAGGCGGGGGGGTACGTGGTGCATCAGGTGACCACAGCTGGACCCCTGAAGACCGGAGACCAGGTGCAGCTCCACCTGGACCAGGTACACACACACACACACACACACACACACACACACACACACACACACACACACACACACACACACACCACACACACACACACACACACACACACACACACACACACACACACACACACACACACACACACACACACACACACACACACACACACACACACACACACACACACACGTTGCTCGGTGTACCGGATACTTGAAAGGTACCCTGCCGTTAAAAACGGTACGATTCCTCCGTTTCATTAGTATCGGTACTTTAAGAATGACGGGGGAAAGTACTCCGGTGAGAAAAGCGACGTTTAATAAGAGCCGTGTGTGTTCAGCGCTCTGCTTCCACTCCCTGCACTGCAGCCGTGCCTGCAGTCCCTCCCCTCTCAAGCATGCTCTAAGTCCCTCCCCTATCAAGCATGCTCTAAGTCCCTCCCCTCTCAAGCACGCTCTAAGTCCCTCCCCTCTCAAGCAATCGCTCGAAGTCCTCCCCTCTCAAGCACTGCTCTAAGTCCCTCACATATCAAGCAACGGCTCTAAGTCCCTCCCTATCAAGCATGCTCTAAGTCCCTCCCTATCAAGCATGCTCTAAGTTCCCTCCCTCCTCAGCACGCTCTAAGTCCCTCCCCTCTCAAGCACGCTCTAAGTCCCTCCCCTCTCAAGCACGCTCTAAGTCCCTCCCCTCTCAAGCACGCTCTAAGTCCCTCCCCTCAAGCACGCTCTAAGTCCCTCCCCTCTCAAGCTCGCTCTAAGTCCCTCCCCTCTCAAGCACGCTCTAAGTCCCTCCCCTCTCAAGCACGCTCTAAGTCCCTCCCCTCTCAAGCACGCTCTAAGTCCCTCCCCTCTCAAGCACGCTCTAAGTCCCTCCCCTCTCAACACGCTCTAAGTCCCTCCCCTCTCAAGCACGCTCTAAGTCCCTCCCCTCTCAAGCACGCTCTAAGTCCCTCCCCTCTCAAGCACGCTCTAAGTCCCTCCCCTCTCAAGCACGCTCTAAGTCCCTCCCCTCTCAAGCACGCTCTAAGTCCCTCCCCTCTCAAGCACGCTCTAAGTCCCTCCCCTCTCAAGCACGCTCTAAGTCCCTCCCCTCTCTCGTGCACGCGCTAGCTGCCAGAGCATGTGAGAAAACGAGAAGCATGGCTGCAAGTGGGAGTGCAACTGCCGCTGCGCCTCGGCTTGTTGACAAAAAAGACGCCAGAAGCGAAATGTGGAAGTATTTGAGTGATATCTCTGACAGTGAGGGTAAGCCTACGGACACCACCAGGCCTGTCATGTTTCAGATCCCTGCAGACCAAGGGAGCCAACACATCAGACTTGGCTAAGCACCTCGCCGACCGGCATCCAGAGCTGTTTAATATGGCTATCTTTTTAGCTAACTTCCCAATGTGGCTAACATCTGCAATCTACATTTGGTCAATAATTATTTATATTACTGTACTATTACATGATAATAAAATATAAAGTGAACTATCAAAGAAATCACAAACTCCAGTATAAAGAAGAGACCATGTTGTAAGAAAACACTTAACAGATAAACTACAATTTTATTGATCATGAAAATAATAAAAGAAAGTATCGAAAAAGAATCGGGATCGCAATTCTTGACTTGGTATCGGTATCGAAACCAAAATGTTGGTATCATGACCACACACACACACACACACACACACACACACACACACACACACACACACACACACACACACACCCACAACACACACACACACACACACACACACACACACACACACACACACACACACACACACACACACACACACACACACACACTGTTTTCCTCTGTTTACATCCTGTTGCTTTAAATCTGTGTTCTAACTGAGGGATCAGAGCTGATTATACAGGTCCCTCCCCAGGTTCATATTATACAGGTTAATGATAACTAGTCCCTCCCCAGGTTCATATTATACAGGTTAATGATAACTAGTCCCTCCCCAGGTCCACGTTACACAGGTCAATGATAACTTGTCCCTCCCCAGGTTCATATCATACAGGTTAATGATAACTAGTCCCTCCCCAGGTCCACGTTACACAGGTCAATGATAACTAGTCCCTCCCCAGGTCCATATTATACAGGTCAATGATAACTAGTCCCTCCCCAGGTCCATATTATACAGGTTAATGATAACTAGTCCCTCCCCAGGTCCATATTATACAGGTTAATGATAACTAGTCCCTCCCCAGGTCCATATTATACAGGTCAATGATAACTAGTCCCTCCCCAGGTCCATATTATACAGGTCAATGATAACTAGTCCCTCCCCAGGTTCATATTATACAGGTTAATGATAACTAGTCCCTCCCCAGGTCCATATCATACAGGTTAATGATAACTAATCCCTCCCCAGGTCCATGTTATACAGGTTAATGATAACTAGTCCCTCCCCAGGTTCATATTATACAGGTTAATGATAACTAGTCCCTCCCCAGGTTCATATCATACAGGTTAATGATAACTAGTCCCTCCCCAGGTCCACGTTACACAGGTCAATGATAACTAGTCCCTCCCCAGGTTCATGTCATACAGGTTAATGATAACTAGTCCCTCCCCAGGTCCACGTTACACAGGTCAATGATAACTAGTCCCTCCCCAAGTTCATGTCATACAGGTTAATGATAACTAGTCCCTCCCCAGGTTCATATCATACAGGTTAATGATAACTAGTCCCTCCCCAGGTCCATATTATACAGGTTAATGATAACTAGTCCCTCCCCAGGTCCACGTTATACAGGTTAATGATAACTAGTCCCTCCCCAGGTTCATATCATACAGGTCAATGATAACTAGTCCCTCCCCAGGTCCATATCATACAGGTTAATGATAACTAATCCCTCCCCAGGTTCATATCATACAGGTTAATGATAACTAGTCCCTCCCCAGGTTCATGTCATACAGGTTAATGATAACTAGTCCCTCCCCAGGTCCACGTTATACAGGTTAATGATAACTAGTCCCTCCCCAGGTTCATGTCATACAGGTTAATGATAACTAGTCCCTCCCCAGGTCCACGTTACACAGGTCAATGATAATCTAGTGTCCTCCCCCAAGTTCATACATACAGGTAATGAATAACTAGTCCCATCCCCAGTCCATATTATACAGGTTAATGAGACTAGTCCCTCCCCAGTCCATATTATACAGGTTAATGAGAAC